TGCCAACATTTCATGTTTATTTAAACGGGTAAATGAAACGTGTATGAATGATTTCCTTTTTTAGTTTTGAAAGGCTGGGAAATCCTCAGCTTTTGTAAGTCGCTTTTTAGATCGAAAGTAGATACTTTACAAGGTGCAAACTCATCTGCACTTGAGTCACTGGTCCGGAAGTGGTCGGAGAATGCTCCGAAAGAAGAGACGCGTGTTCCTGGTCAGTGTGACTTAATATCTTTTATCGATAAGTCGCAAATGGAATGCCTTAACGAGGACGATAATGCAAATTTAAAGTATATATTTACTGATCTTGAACCTCAAAAGTTAAAAAATAGTTTACATAATTTTTTATATTTTACTTTTTCTGTTTTTAGAAGCCGTTCAAATTTCCTTTTGCTTCATACTCCTTAAAACTTTTTTGTCAGGTTGTAGAAGTCTTTAAATGTTAGAAGTTAGTGATTAAGTTTATTTCATTTTATTGTTTGATGTGTTTTAGGAATTTGATCGAGGGAAAGGGAGATTTGCTTTCTGATTGTGACGAACAACTGATAATCTCCCTTCCTTTTAATCAACCTGTCAAAATCCACTCTATTTATATAAAAGGAAAAGGATCTGGTGCTCCAAAAACAGTCAAATTATTTACCAACCTTGCAAATATCTTGGACTTTGATCGCGCTCTCAGTGCAGAAACAGTGCAGACTATTTCCTTCTCTGAGAAGGTACTTCTAATTCTAAATTTGATGTCTTGTTGGTTAATTTTTATACAGACTGAATTTAGTAATAAACCATGTTTTCGTATCACATTACCAATTATTTGTGAGATATTTTCTAGGTAAAAGAAGGCGAGCTGATAAATCTTCGATATGTAAAGTTTCAAAATGTTAAAAACATGCAACTGTTTATAGAAGATAATCAAAACGAAGCAGCAAATACATGTATTCAAGAACTTCGTTTATATGGTACTCCTCTTACAGCAACTAATATGCAGGATTTCAAGCGGGTAATAACTATTTAAACTATTTTGAATCACTCATTAGTTGTGCTTTTGTCACCCCTTACTTCTACTGTATTATTTGGGTTCTTTTAGGTTTCTGGGAAAGTTGGTGAAGTTGGACACTCACGATTGTAAATTTATTTTGATTTCATGCTCTTCTTTGCTGTTTCTTCAGCTTGTTGTTTATTGTTTGTTTTGTGAACAAAAAAATAAATATGGCTCTCATAACAGTTGCGTATTTGTTGGCTCCGGAACATTACTTGTTGTGAATTAAAGTTCTATTTATAAGTTCTGATTAGGTGCAGCTTTTTATGAACAAGTGGTTGATGGATTCAAACCGACCGTTTGCATCCTTATTTCCATAGCCTTTCTCAACTGTTTATGCCTCGTTTCGTATTGAGGATGTATTATTAACATTTGGGAAG